CGCCCACGGGCCTCCGCTTCTCGCCCGAGCAGGTGGCGTGCGTGTGCGAGGCGCTGCTGCAGGCTGGCCACGCCGGTCGCTTGAGCCGCTTCCTGGGCGCGCTGCCCCCGGCCGAGCGCCTACGTGGCAGCGATCCGGTGCTGCGCGCGAGGGCCCTAGTGGCCTTCCAGCGGGGTGAATACGCCGAGCTCTACCGGCTCCTCGAGAGCCGCCCTTTCCCCGCCGCCCACCACGCCTTCCTGCAGGACCTCTACCTGCGCGCGCGCTACCACGAGGCCGAGCGGGCCCGCGGCCGTGCGCTGGGCGCGGTGGACAAATACCGGCTGCGCAAGAAGTTCCCTCTGCCCAAGACCATCTGGGATGGCGAGGAGACCGTCTACTGCTTCAAGGAGCGCTCGCGCGCGGCGCTCAAGGCCTGCTACCGCGGCAACCGCTATCCCACGCCAGACGAGAAGCGCCGCCTGGCCACGCTCACCGGCCTCTCGCTCACACAGGTCAGCAACTGGTTCAAGAACCGGCGACAGCGCGACCGGACTGGGACCGGCGGCGGAGCGCCCTGCAAAAGGTGAGGGGACCGGCCCTCTCCTCGGTTCCCGCTGCAGTCGAGTCTGCGCGCCTGACCCTTTGTGCCCCCGGCGTTGGCGAGCTCACGGGCTGAGCCCAGAGACCAGGCACACCCTGGCTTCTCTGGGCATCGCTGCCCCACGGGCAGAGGTTCTGAATGGCCGCTGTTTCCAGGTTGGGACTGCAGTGCAGGCGGCAGTAAGAAAAGTGTGTGTGTGTTGGGGGGGGGTGTCCCCTTGGAGGGGCTGTGGTAAGGGCAAGGGGGCCTTTGTCTAAGACACCGAGGGTGGGGACCTCTGCAGCCTGGCCCCTCAGTGACTGTTACTTACGCCCACTCCCACGCCCCCTCCGGCCCAAACAGCGTGCTCTGTTGCCTGTCTTTGTTGTGAAACGTGAACCTTCTCCGGCTCCGGTTTCCCTTGTAACCCAAGCCCTTCCCCTCCCACCCCAGCGCCGGGCCTCTAGCTCTGGTCTCTGAAGGCCCGGGGGAGGGCAGGGGAAGAACTGGAGGAAAGGGTTCTGCTGCCTCACTCTGCAGCCACGCGCCTGCTGACCCAGGGGACTTGGGGCAGCCTGGGTGCTCGGCTGCAGGCCAAGGCAACGGGAAAGCTTCCCTCCAGCTTGGCATTCCCGCCATGCTGTCAACCCCCGCAGGGTTTGTGGAGGCCCTGGGATTCGCGCGGATCCCCTGAAGGGCTCAAATAGTTAACGGGAGCTTGGGTTGCCACCGCCTCTGGGGCCATGTGTGTAACCTTCAGGCCTGAGACTTCATCCTTTCTCCTGCCAGCGAGTCCGATGGGAACCCCACTACTGAGGATGAGTCCAGCGGAAGTCCCGAAGACCTGGAGAGGGCTGTGGCCCCCGTGGCTGCTGAGGCGCCCCCCCAGAGTTCTATCTTCCTAGCGGGGGCCACCCCTCCTGCGACATGCCCCGCCTCCTCCTCCATCCTGGTGAATGGGAGCTTCCTGGCAGCCGGCAGTCCCCCAGCAGTGCTGCTCAATGGCAGCCCCGTCATCATCAATAGCTTGGCCCTAGGAGAGGCCTCCAGCCTGGGGCCCCTGCTGCTCACAGGAGGAGGGGGTGCCCCTCCTCCACAACCCAGCCCCCAGGGAGCCAGTGAGGCCAAGACTTCCCTGGTCCTGGACCCTCAGACTGGAGAGGTTCGGTTGGAGGAGGCTCCGTCTGAGGCTCCTGAGACCAAAGGGGTCCAGGGGGCTGTTCCGGGGGCAGCTGGAGAGGAAGTCCCAGGGACCCTGCCCCAGGTAGTCCCCGGCCCCCCACCTGCCCCCACCTTCCCTCTGACCCCAGGAGCCGTTCCCTCTGTGGCTGCTCCTCAGGTCGTACCACTCTCCCCCTCGTCTGGGTACCCAGCAGGCCTGAGCCCCACTTCCCCACTGCTGAACTTGCCCCAGGTGGTGCCCACCTCCCAGGTGGTGACCCTGCCTCAGGCTGTGGGGCCGCTCCAACTGTTGGCAGCTGGGCCAGGCAGCCCCGTGAAAGTGGCGGCTACCCCGGGGCCTACCAACGTGCACCTGATCAACTCCGGTGTGGGGGTGACCGCCCTGCAGCTTCCCTCGGCCACCACCCCAGGTACCCCTCCTGCTTTCTTCGGCCCGGCGGGCTGGGGGAGCAGGTGTCTTGCCTCTGGCACTTCTGCCCGACCCCCAGCATCTTGCCCTCCATCTCCTCTCTCCACAGGAAACTTTCTCCTGGCCAACCCCGTGTCCGGCAGCCCCATCGTCACTGGGGTAGCTGTGCAGCAGGGCAAGATCATCCTCACTGCCACCTTCCCCACCAGCATGCTCGTCTCCCAGGTCCTTCCACCTGCCCCCAGCCTAGCCCTGCCCCTGAAGCAAGAGCCAGCCATCACAGTGTCTGAAGGAGCCCTCCCAGTGACCCCCAGCCCCGGCCTCCCGGAGGGTCACACTCTAGGGCCAGTCTCTACTCAGCCACTGCCACCTGCCCCTGCTGTCACCTCTGCCACCGGCCTGCCTTTCTCCCCGGACTCCTCTGGCCTGCTGCCCGGCTTCCCAACACCCCTGCCCGAGGGTCTGATGCTGTCCCCTGCGGCTGTACCAGTCTGGCCAGCAGGGCTGGAACTGAGCGCAGGGGTAGAGGGGCTGGGGACACAGGCCACCCACACTGTGCTGAGACTGCCAGACCCAGACCCCCAGGGGCTGCTCCTGGGGGCCACAGCAGGGACTGAGGTTGATGAGGGGCTAGAAGCGGAGGCCAAGGTCCTGACGCAGCTGCAGTCCGTGCCTGTGGAGGAGCCCTTGGAACTGTGACTGCCTGGATCAACCACCTCTCCTGACAATGGTGCTCAAGGTGCTCGGACAGGAGGAGGAACCCTCAGTCGAGTGCAGTCTGAAGGTCCCACACTACAGCCCTCCGCCCTGGACGAGCTGCAAGCCTTGGAGAAGCCAGAGAATCACCCCTGCCTGGGCACTGTCCTTTCCTGATGGGAAGTCCATGTTACAGCCCTCCCATGCTCTGCCTGCCCGGTGCATGGGGCACTAGGGGTCCTGACTCGGGCTTTGTCCTCCTCTACCTGGTACTAGTTGAGGAAGGCCCTGCCGAGTGGCTGATTTCCAGCCGGCACCCTCCCCATAACACTATTAATAGCCCCACTGATACCCAGTGTTCCCAGAACTGCCTGAGTCCCAGGGAGAGGAGACCAGGGTGTGGCCCAGAGAGCCCTTCCTGCTGAGAGGGTCCAATGGGTGCACGGGGCCTTCCTTACTTCCCTGGACTTGAGCCCCAGGATCCAGCCCCAGACCAAAGATTTCCCCGGCCCCTAGTTTTGTCTAGTTTGTATCATCGTAAATCTTTATTTTTCTAGGACATGTAATGCCTCCATTTCAATTAAAGTCAAGTTAACAGACAACAGAGCCACTGGGGTAAGGGTCATCTGCCAAACCACCGGCCCGAGAGAGAACTAGAGACAACCCCAAGCCTGAGGCTGTGACTCGCTTTTTTTGTCTGGGTTCTTTTTGAGATGGGGTCATATTCCATAGCCCAGGCTGGCCTCAAATCCTATCTTCCTGCCTCAGCCTTCTGAAGGCTGGAATTATGAACACGGGTCACCACATCCCAAGACTGGATTCCTGAGGTAAAGGGGTTGAGTTCACACCTGTGGACTCTGGAGGGTTTTCCAAGTTCAGAAGCAAAGGGCTTTTGGATTTGATGTGTGGAAAGCCCACTCAGGGCCAAGGGATCCTGGACACAGCATTCTTTTTCTCCCTGCTCTTCAATAGGGTTCCACTTCATTTTAAGACAATTGATAGTCCATAAATAGAGCAGGGAAGGATGCATTGAAAACAAATGGCTGAAACCTACGATTCTGGAAGCAGAGGGGAGCTCTGCATGTCATCTGGGGCACCCATCCTCTAAGAACAGGTGGGAAGGGCTGTACCCAAGGCAGAGAACAGCCTTGGGTCAGTAAACACACTTCTTCTCTGGTGCCAGGAGTTGGGGACTGGGCAGGGGATCCTTAGCAGTGGCTGCTGAGGCCCAGAGGGAACAAACATTGGGGGACCTGGGAGCTAAGCAGATGGCAGACCCAGCAGGGGCTGCTCTCTCACTGGCCATGAAGGGAGAGCAGGGAAGCCAGGCCCAAAGACACCTGGGCCTTCTCAGCCAGCAGCTGGTAGAAGGGCTTAGGGGTCTCCCCATCCTCATCCTCACTGCTGGAGCTCTCCTGCTTCACAATGCGGTTGTGTTGGCGGCTGAACCTGCGTGCCTTGGTGCTGGGGACAGATGGAGGTTCCTCACTCTCGGCTCCTAGGTTCCCCCACTAGATCTCTGCCCCTAGCACTGACCAAACCTGGGCTTCAAGGAGCCAGAACTCTCTGACCCCATGGGGCCCGTCTCTCTTGGGGCTCTAGGTTCTGATATCTAAATTGAACCCTGCCGCCGGGTGCTCGCCACAGACATGGGGGTTGAAGTTGGTGGAAGGGACAGAGTTGAGGAAGGATGACTAAGACAAGAGAGAAGAGGCCAAGTGACGGGAAATAACTGAGGTGCTCTATGTGGCAAAGCAGAAATGGAGGCAGCAGGTCCAAGACCCAGCAAAGGTGACACTTCTCAGCTGCAGGTGACACTCTATCTGTCACCTCACAAGTCATAAAACTTGTGACCCAGGAGCCAGAGAGATACTCAGTGAATAAGCACTTGCTCTGGGCTGTGAGTTTGAGTCACCAGTATCCACATAAAGAGCTGCGCCTGGCTGTGTGTGCCTGTGTCAAAGCCCTAGGAACAGAGACGGGCATATCCCAAAGGCTTGCTGTCCAGCCGTCCTGGCTGTAAAGGCCAGATCCCCATTCAGTGGGAGGCCTTGCCTCAAGGCAACAAGGCAAAAGCAAGACAAAGATACCTGATGTCCTCCTGTTCTGGCCTCTGCATGCATGTGCATGTGTGCACATACCACACACGCATGTGCATGCACCATACATATACAAAGAAAAAGAATTTGTTTCACAAGTCCTCAGCCCAGCAAAGCCCCAACCTGTTAGTAAAGTCACGAGGCTCTGAGGGAGGCATGAGGGTCACAGGTCGGGGCCCATGGTTCCCCCCACACCCTCTGGAAGGTACTTCTCACCAGTATGGTCTCCTTTCCTCCAGAGTCATTCTTCGCCACAGCTGAGCCAGCTCCTTGGTGGCAGCTGTGGATGCAGTCCCAGGACAGGCTCTGGGCAGGAAGGCAGAGGTTACAATGGTCACATCATGGTCCTTGGCCATCTTTCCTCTCCCACCAGCTTCCCAGTGCCCCATTACACCCTCCAGAGTAAGATGCAAGGAAGAGACACAGTGTCCCCCAAAGCATAAATGACCTGTAGCCACCACTTCACAGGCCCCCCACCCCAAACCTGTTCTCCCGGCGAAACTCAGCCAACAGTGACAGGTCCAGGGCTGGCACCTGATCTATGTCCACCCCAAGGACATTTAGAGATGAGACTTCAGGGCATCCGGCAGGACTGAGCCTGCACCTCCTGACGACAACCTGCCGCCACTGTAGCCCCGCATGCTGGAGATGACAGCTCAGGAGAGAGGGACAGGACTGCTCCAGCCCAGAACCAACCCCTCCTGGAGGCAGTTTTCTTGATGGTGACAGAAGCCAATTAATTTCCTTTTCTCTGATGTCTCAAGTTTGAGCTTGGGTCTGCTGCACAGGATGGGAAGGCACAGCAGTGGGGCCTCATGGTCTGGGGGTGCACATGGGGACGGTAACCTCTTTGTAAAAACCCAGGGGCCCTCACCCACCGGATGTACTGCTTCCGGTTCATCCTGCAGAACATGATGAAGCCATTAACACACTTTTTCTTCACCTGGCCAGGACAGGCTTTTCTGCTATCTTTGGGCTTCACAGGGCCCTGGCTTGCCTGGACCTTCTTGGTTTTCTTGCCAGCTACCAGCAGGCCAGAAGACCGTCGGGTAGGAGTCCATGTGTAGTCTCTGTCCTCATCACTGGGGGTCTGCAAGCCCTCACGGTTGGCCTGCTGCAGGACAGAAGACTGAGCAAGGGAGAAGACCCCCGTCCTCCCTGGGTAGATGGCCACCCCACTCACCTCTTGTCCCCACAGGGACTCAGTGTCTGTGGACTCTGAACTGGAGCTGCAGCTGGACAGCACCTTGATGTTCTCACTCAGCGATAGGTAGCAGTGGTCCAGTGAGACTGAGGACTCGAAGTTAGGAGGGCCTGTGGGGCCCTCAGAGGGTGTGTCCTGGACCAGATGAGGAAGACACTCACTGACTACAGGACATGCAGGGCATTAGAAACAGCACAGGTTAGAGAGACACCTTGCCTGTTTCCATACCCTGGAAACTCAGGAACCTTGACTCAAAGGTCCCAAGCAGGGGCCTCATGCCATCAATTCACACATGAGGAAACTGGGACTAGAACAGGGACACAGGTGCCCCTCCCAGCCCAGCGGCCTCAGCACCAGTTCTCCCTCCCTCCTACTCCCTCCTGTGGCTGAGCTGGAGGCAAAAAACAAAACCTGATGACAATGGAGTCTTTCCTCATGAGTCCACTGAAGTAAACTCCATGCTCAGGGAATTGAGACTTATTTGGCCAGATAAATTGGTACACTCCTGTAATCCAAGCTCTCTCAAGGCTGAGGCAGGAAGATAGAATTTGAGGACAGTCTGAGACCCAAGAGACCCTGTGTCAAACACAGGGACGCCTTAAACACGTACACACGAAGCATTGCGGCTCCTCCGTGAGTGGTAAACCACTGAAGGTAAAAGAAGTGCCCTGTCCCCACCCTGCTTGGGGGGTAGCTACGATCTTCGGCAGGCCTTTCCCAGGCCCTCTTGGGCAGCAGTAAGCTCAAAGGCGGGTCTCGGTGAGGACAGACTTGGTAACTGGGAAGGATGGAGGTGTGGGATGCTCAGTGAGGGAGTCAAGCCAGGAAGCTAGAACTTACCTTCTCTTGGGGACCCTCCAGTTCACAGGCAGCAGCTGAAGACTCCAAGAGACCTGTGAGCAGAGCACTGGCAGGACTAGGCGCCTTTCTTACAGCACCCCTGGCTAGCCCCAGTCCCCTCCATGATTTTCTCCCCTTTGGGATTTCCTAGCCCATGACCCAGTCTCACTCACAGGCCAACTGTGAGTGTGGCAACTTTTTGGAGCCTCCCCTCTACTACATGGCCTACTGGCCCCTATGCTGGGAGGGACTATGGGCCCCTCAAGACCCTCTGCACATCCACTGGGCCTAGCTAAGGCCCAGTACTTGGTGGGTGGGTGTCCTCATGTTTTATGAATGAATAAAGCTCCTTCCACTCTGGCAGCCCACCTTCAGTCAGAAAGTAGGTTCCGTCCTCCAGGACATGATCTGGCAGGATTTTGCTTGGGGAGCTGAAGAGGGAAGAGCTGAGTCCTAAGATCTCACTCAGGTAGTTCGTCACATGCCAGGTATTGATCTGGGAAGACCCCGCGGCCAGTGGGCTCCCTGAAAGGATCATGGTACTTAGGACTGTGGTCAAGCGCCAGTGCAGCAGCATTCTTGGAAGGGATAGTGTCAGACACTGGGAAAAGAGACTGCCATTCAGAGTTGTGGTGGTATAGGAAATTAAGAGGCACACTGCCTGGCAATATATCATCAAAAAAAGGAAAGATCACACATTACAGTGTGCCAGAGCCAGCGGACTGACTGCAGTGAGCCATAGCTCTGTAGTCAAAAAGCTCTGTAGTGGCCGGCTTATGAAAATAGGGATTGATTAGCAATGTCTGGCACAGCAACCAGGGGCAGAGTGATGATAGACAGTATGTTTGCCATCCCTGTGCTCAGCATTCCCCAACCTTCTTCCTGCTTTTCTTTGCCATAGAAACCCTCTGGAGAGGAAGGTTCAGAAGGCTCACAGCCTACAAGAAGAGGAGTTGTAATCACCGTTGGGGCTGTCCTCTGAGGTCCACGCAGGAAGCCAGGGGTCAGTGTCTGGGGCTTCTTTGTCTGCCTCACTGGAAGTGCAAAAGAATAACTTCTGCCTGTGAGAGTTGGAATCAGAGGAGGACACAGAGCCCTGGGCTGAACTCAGATGTGACTTGTAGAGTTCACATGGCCAACTCTACGCAATCCCAGGGAAATTAATCAGCTGGGGCTTCTACCCTCAAGGTGCTTCAAAGTCTTGTGAGGAAAAATGAGATGCTGACAACACAGGGGACCCCGTGGTGGAGTGTTCCAGGGAAGACCAGAGGGCACATAGGAGAGGGTGGCTTCCCAGGTAAATCAGAGAGGCAGATGCTCCAAGTATAGGGACCAGCGCAGCAAGCTCAGAGCAGGCAGTGTGGGAACTGGAGAACATTTGTGCTGTTCAGTGGAAGGTTGGTGGTAACGGCAAGAGGCTGATATGGTGAGACAGGCCACATTCTCCAATGCCAAGGAAGAGGTTTGGGCAGACCCACTGATATGGTCAAGGTCTGTAGTAGAGAAGCACTCAGTGGATGAGAACAGGCTGGGAGGGGGAGAGAGGCAAGGGAGATCAGCAGGTGACAATCCAGACCTTCATGGGAGCTGGCATCAGCCAGCATGCAGCTGGGCCCAGGGTGCCATTCAGGGAGCTCTGGCAGAGAATGTCAAGTCATTTATCACATTCCACAGATACCTCAGCCCCAGCCACTGACACCCTGGGGTTTCCTTACCTGAGACAGGGCTGTGCCCTGGTGAGGAAATAGGACCTCTGAACCCTGCTCTGAGCCTTGATGTCAATGTCAGGCTCACCATCCCGGGTCCCTGCACCATGATCACCTAGGAAGGGGTATCAGAATAAGATGATTATGGCTGTATACGGGCCAGATTCCAGGGCCCCAAGACAGGGGAAGGAGAGGGACCAGACTCTGCCACCAGCCTTCCTCCTCCCATACCCAAACCAGAACCTTAGGCTGTGGTGCCCAAGTCACCACAGCACTGACTCACACCTCTCTCAGAAGCTGCACTGAGGATCACATCCCTACCATGGAATCACAACACCATGACAACAGTGATGGCACACAAGTGTGGCTGGCCCTGTCCTGTCCCTGCAAGTCTTTGTACTGAAGCACAATGCATTATACAAATGGGCTAGCCCAGTCACTGCCATGTGAATGGCATGTCTAGCCTCATATAGTAGCAGGAAGATGATGCCTCCTCTGGGACCAGGGCATTCTAGCACCCCAGCAAGTCTGGGTGGCCTGGGAAATGTGGGGAATTCTGTCACTGGACTGAGAATTTGGTCACTACTGTGTCACAAGCACCAACAAGTTATGGCCTGACCTAGAGGAGGTACATGAACAATGGGGGAGCATGATGGAGAATTGGGCACTCTGAGGACTCAGAGCTAGTGCCAGGCCAAGGCTTGCATTCCGGTCTGCTTTTCTGTCCTTTTTAGGTATTTCCATCCCTTCTCCCCTCTGGTACAGTGACAGGGCCAAGGGACAGTCTGGCTTCTTCAGGGAAGCCCAGTAGGCACATGCTCCTCCATCACCAGATCTGAGACTTGAAGCTTAACACAAGGGTGACCCTGATCTTGTCCCTCCCTTACTGAGCCCTACACAAGAAAGGAAAGCTGTGGGTGAAAGCCCCATGATAAGAGAGGCAGTGTCATCCCATTCAGTGACGTATGCCTTGTTGCTAGGACTGTCCAAGGCAAAATCTGTGAAAGAGCTCACAAACACACACACACACACACACACACACACACACACACACACACACATGCAAATAAAATAGTAAGTTCCCACTGAGGAAAGGCACCAACTTGTGATGTCATGGGCAACAATGTTCTGAGCCATGTCCAGGAAGACCAGCTGGGCCCCTCCTCCATCACCTTCCAACAGGGACGGTGCAGTTGTAGGGTGGGTGCCAGGGCTGAGATCTCTTGGGTAAGTGGCACCGTTTTCTTCCTTCTGACCTGGGTGTGCAGTGACCAGATTTTCAGATTGGTCCAGAGCCAGAGAGTGACGAGGCTTCTGGGGCCAGGTTGGGCGCTCTGAGAGAACAGACAGAGTCAGGGGGCATGGTGGGGTCACTAGGATCCTTAGAATTTGGCTCAGGGAAGGAACTCTTCTGCTCTGGGCTGTCTCATTCCAGAGCATTGCCTGGCCTGGCCACTCACCAGCACCCCAGGTGTGCCCAGCTCCTCAAGCAGAGCTCACTGAGCCGACTCGGTCTGCATAACTCTGAGCTCTAACAGCATGATGCACAGTGGGTGTGACATTCCACACCAGGCCAATGATGCCAGCTTTCTATGTGTATGTACACACCGAGGAAGTTTCTAAGCACCTAAAGTAATTCCAATGTGCAGCCATGACTAGAAACTAGTGATCAGGTAGGCCGTAGTCCCATTTCACAGGCTTTGACATTGAGGTCCTTTAAGGGTTTGGGAAGTGAGGGTGTGGTGAGGCTGGGCTAGAGCCAGGACTCTTGGCCACTACAATTGGACCTTCCTACCATCCCGCCTCCCCTGTGCCCTACCTCAAGGACAATAAATGATGACAGCAGCATCCTCCTTGGGCCTTGCCAGTGCTTCTGCTATTAAGCACTGCTTGGCAGTGTCTGCTCAGGCTTTTTCTATAACCTTGAGAGGGCCTGGACTGGTGCCTGTCCCAATGAGGAAGAAATGAAGGCCCAGAGGAGAGCACGCCACCCTAGGCCTCAGCCTCCCATGGAAGGTCTGGGAGTGGCCTCAGGCATAGCCTGGCAGGGCCTCACCCAGTGTGTCCCTACAGGGACAGCAGCTCCCTGTCCTGCCTCCAGAGACCACATGTACCTGACACTCGGGTGAACTTCTTCTTTCGAGGTCTCGAGCAGGTTCCCCAAAAGTGTGATTTCTGAGAGCTGGAGGGGGTGGAGCTTCTCCTCCAGGTTGGGCCGGCAGATGGGTTCCGACCCAGCCCTGGGAGTGGAGAAGGGGGCAAATCAGAGCCCATTCTGTCCTGCACATCCTTCTCCTCCCAGACAAGGTTTTCCAACCCTTGGAAAGAGGTGGGAAGGTTTTCAGGCAGACTTTACAAACAAAAAAAAAAAATTGAGATCTATGGTGGCACAGCCAAGAGGACATAGGACAGGGCAGGAAAGCATAGGAACATAAATGTGTCATCCCAGCACATATGAAGCTAAGGCAGAAGGGTTATTGCAAGTTTGAGGCCAGTCTGGGCTATACAGCAAGACTCTGTCTCAAAAACAAATAAAACATCATCAACCAAAAAAAGAAAGAAACAAAGAAAAGAAAAAAGAAACAAAAGCAAATTAATCTGAGCAGGATGTTCCCTGGTTCAATCTTCTGATACTTCTCATCTCTACCCCTCTGCTCCGCCCTACAGACGTCATCCCCTTGCTCTAGCCTCTGCGCCCCCAGCCTCTTCTTCCTGCCCAAGTGTTTCACACCAGCCACTGTATGGTGCCGAGAGCTGTGTGCTGCAGCCACCATGTTGCTTCTTTGTATTAACCCATTTGACTCCCATCACACACACAGGAGGGAAGTGCTGATTGGTTCCCAATTTATAGATTGCAGGACTGAATCCCAGAGAGGCTATGATCACAGTAGAGTCTAAATCAGAACTGGCTGGGAAAAGGGCATGCATCAACCCACTCAGTGCCCTATCACATCTGCTGCCTGTCCCTAAACATTCTACGTTTCCTCACGCCCACATGCTCTTGGTCAGAGTGGTTCTGCAGTTTGGCAGGATTCCCTTGTACTGTCCTTGAAGGCCAAGCTCTTAGGCTTCCTCCTCCAAACTCCAAAACACAGTGTCCATGTTTTGCTTTGTTTCCTTAAGACTGGGTCTTGCTCTGTAGGTTAGGCTGGGCTGGAACTCACTGTGTAGCCTAGGCTGGCTGCTGGAGTAACAGGTGTGAGCGAGCCATCACATCTGGCTCTCCTACAGCACCTTGCTTACCTCTCTGATGCAGTCACCTTCCCAGGAAAGGGAAGGTGGCCAATTGGTTTCCCTGAGGCCAGGAAAAGGTGTGGTGTAGAGGCACTGGAGGTGGAACTGCTCACCCACAAACCCACCTCTGTTGTTGTGGAGCTTGAGCAACGCCTTGGCCACATCAATGCTTCTCTGGAGGTACTGGATGTAGTGCAGGACACGTAGCAGGATCTCCTTCTGCAGAGACAGGGTGGAGAGTGGGGCACACCACCCACCTGTCCTCTCAGCTCCACAAGAGGCAGAGGTAGCAGGATCATGAGTTGGAAGCTGGCCTAGGATACGTTCTGTAAGACCCTGACTTGTATAAGGGTCAGGGCCCAGGACATTGGAGACTCCTGGGGAACAGAGACAGGAAGTGCCTCACACCCTACCCTCCACATAATACCACACTCGGGCAGGAAGAAGAGGCTGGGGGCATGGAGGCTAGAGCAGCCTTATTGGCAGAGCTTCACCTACTCTGCTGTATAGTCCCTAGCCTTTCCTAGAGAGCCAGCTGAAGACTGAGGCTGAACACTAATCTGGTTTGGAAACCTCAGGAGGCAGGGCTGGAATCTGACCAGGGCAGTCAGCCTCCTGGTTCCAGTCACTGGCACATACTGCTCAGCTTCTGGCACCAGGCCCTTTGCTTATACTCACCTCCCTGTCTGGCCCTCCGTTCCTCCCATCAGGCCCCTCACCTGCCTGCTCCCCCTCTGAACTTCAGCATGGCCCCTTCCCTTCTGACCATCTGGCCCAGGCTGGGTCAGCTTCCCACCTCCCAGCACTCTGTAACAGCCTGGACTTCTTTCGACCTCCACTGCAGCCACACTGCTTTCTGTTATCTGCTGCCATGTTCTCTCCCTTTGACCTTGAGCTAGCTGAGGCAAGATCTTAGCTAACCTATTTCCATACTCCAAAGGCAGAGAGTGCTGGGGTGGCTCAGCCAGGGCCTTTTAGAGAAGGAGATTTCCCCATCAGGGTGCTTCCGGTCAGTGGGCAGACACCACCTGCCTACCACAGCCACTAAATACCTCCTGAGCTGCTACAGGAAACCCAAAACTAAAAAACAATACAAAAATCATTCCAAACATGCTGGAACACTCCTATAATCCCAGTACTCAGGAAGCTGAGACGGGAGGACTGCAAATTCCAGGACAGTACAGACTACATAGCAAGAGTCCACAGAAAGAGAGACAAAGGGACAAGAAAGGGACTGAGAGAATATCTCCTGCCACCCTTCTACACACACACACACACACACACACACACACACACACACAAAATTTTAAAAAGGCTTAGTCTTTGTTTGAATGAGATTGCCTTTGAGGGGGATCTCAAGGGATTCAAAGAGAGTGCACTTGGGAGGCAGATCTCTGAGTTCGAGTCCAGCCTGCTCTACACAGCAAGTTCCAGGACAGCCAGGGCTACACAGTGAAACCCTATTTCAAAAAACCAAAAAGAAAGGAAAGAAAAAAAAAAAAAAGAGCAAAAAGCTGTGAGCGGAGCACTGAGCAGGCCCCTGCTTAGATTGGCATGTCATACACCAGGCTTGGAACGGGTTACACTGAAACCTTTGTAGCTGTGAGATGTACACAAATGCTCCACGCAAAGGTGGTTCAACTCCATCCCTCATTTCAAGATAGAAGGCTGTTTCTGTTTTCTTGTTTTGTTTTTGAGAAAGGGTCTTACTGTGTACCTCAGGCTGGTCTCAAACTGGTAATCCTCCTGCTTCAGCCTCCCGAATTATAGGCATGGGCTTCATACCCAGCTAGAAGATTCAGTCTTGGTGCTTTAGGAACATGACCTGGTAACTACAACCAGAAGGTGAGACCTCAGGGACCATCTCAAGTTATAATAGGTCTTAAAACTGTCACAACAGAGAACTCATTCAACAAACATCGGTTGAACATTGAGTGACTGAATAACTGAAGGCACTTTAGGATGATGTATTCTCACTCATTCTCATTCTCTCTCCCTGCCCCCCAACCTATCTCCCTCTCTCTCCTTCCCTCCCCCACCCCTGGGTATTTCTGGACAATCTGTTCCTTCAAGAATTTCTTCCTTTAAAAAAAAAAAACACATAGTTTTTGTTGTTGTTGTTGTGTTGTTCTGTTTTGCTTTTAAACAGGATCTCACTATGTAGCTCTGGCTGTCTATGTAGACCAGGTTAGCCTTGAACTCATAGTGATCCACCTGCCTCTATCTTTGAATGCTGGAATTAAAGGTGCATACCACTATGCCCAGCCTTCTTCATGAATTTCTTAAACCAAAGAGTAAGCATGTCCAGGGGCTGGAGACTTGGTTCAGCAGTTAAGAGCATTTGCTGTTCTTGCAGAGGACCTGGGTTTGGTTCCCAGCACTGATATAGGGGCTCACAACTCCCTATAACTCTTATTCTAGGTGATCTAACACCCTCTTCTGACCTTCACAGGCACCAGGCATTCTTGTGATGCACACACATGCATTCAGGAAAAACATTCATACATATAAAATAGAATGAATAGACACAAGAAAGTTTTTTTAAAGTGAGCATGTTGCCAGGTGTGGAGGCCCACATCTTTAATCCCAGCACTCAGGAAGCAGAGGCAAGCAGATCTCTGAGTTCTAGGCCAGCCTGGTCTACAAACAGAGTTCCAGGACAGCCAGGGCTACACATAGAAACCTTGTTCCAACATCACGCCCAAAAAGTGAGCATGTCCATACATCTCTCACAGCCTTGGTAGATGTGGTGGCACAGGCCTATAATCATAACACCAGAAGCTGAGTATTGCCATTAGTTTGAGGACACTCTGGGTTATAAAGCAAGTACCAAGCCAAGCAGGACTACATAGCAAAGTGCAAAAAGAAGGTAGGCCTGTGAGATGGCTTAGCAGGGAAAGGCACCACCTGCCACTAAGCTTGACATCCTGTGTGTAGTCCCACGAGCCCACATGAGAAAACTGACACCCTCTGACTTGTTCGTTTACCCTCGCCAGCCCATTCAGCTGCCTTCTCTACCACATATGCTCTCCTGTGCTCAGGAGCCCTTGCCCTTCCACACTCTGTTTGGGTTCCCTCCTGGCCGCCTGGCCCACATACACTCTGCTTTCCAGTCAGTGCTCAGGCTCTGGGGTCAGTCCATCGTACTGGAGGAAGTTGTCCACCTGATCGTGGACAATTGTATCATGACATTTGTACCAAATAATAATTTAAAACTTTAGTTTTTAAAGAAGGAGACATGTTTAAGATACTCAACATTCAGGGTCTGATTCCAGGAATTCACAGTAAATTGGAAGCGACAGTTATCAATCATGCTCTAGGGTGGATGCTAGGAAGAGAGTCATCCTTTGGAGCCCTTGCCCTGGCAGACGTGAGGGAACAGGGCCGGCAAGATAGCTCAGTGGGTGAAGGTGCTTGCCACTGTGCACATGTACCACTTCCAGTCAGTAACTAAATGAGTGTGAGTGTGAGTGTGAGTGTGTGTGTGTGTGTGTGTGTGTGTGCTTTTTTTTTTTAAATGAGGGAACAATCACTGTGATAAGGACTTTGGTGGCCATATGGAAAGGCTACAGTTTCATACAGGACAGGAGGCAATCAATCAGCCAGAGCAGCGTGGATGGATACCTCAGACATAAGGAAGACATCCCTAACAGTTCCAGTCAGCACGTTCATGGCCACACGATCAGGTGGACAACTTCCTCCAGTACGATGGACTGACCCCAGAGCCTGAGCACTGACTGGAAAGCAGAGTGTATGTGGGCCAGGCGGCCAGGAGGGAACCCATACAGAGTGTGGAAGGGCAAGGGCTCCTGAGCACAGGAGAGGATATGTGGTAGAGAAGGCAGCTGAATGGGCTGCGAGGGTAAACGAACAAGTCAGAGGGTGAAAGCACTTGCTGTACGGGCCTGAGAACCTGAGCTCCATTCCCAGATCCCACCGTCCAGGAGAGAACTGACTCCTGAAATTTGTCCTCTGACCTCTATAAACATGCCAAGACATGTGTGCCCCCCACTTTCTCTTTCATACACACAGTAAGAATATTTTTTTAACACAGAGAGGTAGGCCAGGAGTGGTGGCGCACACCTTTAATCCCAGCACTCAAGAGGCAGAGGCAGGTGGATCTGAGTTTATGGCCAGCCTGTCTACAGAGCAAGTTCCAGGTCAGCCAGGGCTACACAGAAAAACCCCATCTTCAAAAACCAAAAAACAAACAAACAAACAAAACAGAAGTAGAAGGAAACCAGGCCTGATGATACAGGCCCATAATCCTAGCCACTCAAGAGGTAGAGGCAAAGGATTCCAAGTTTAGGCCAGCCAAGACTACAGAGCGAGTTCAAGGCCAGCCTGGAAGCTTAGCGAGACCTTGTCTCAGGAATAAGTATAGTTCAGTGAAGAGTATTGATCTAGTATGCACAAGGCTCTGGGTTCAATGCTTGGTACCACAGATACATTAATTATTTAAATAAATAGAGGGCTGAGTATGGCTTGGTAGCAGAATCCTTGCAAAGCATGTATGAAGCCTCCTATTACCTAAAAAAAGAGGTAGGGAGCTAGATCAAGAAAGTTAAGTCATCACATAAAAGCTCTAGTTCATCTTCTGGAGGACCCAGGTTCTATTCCAAGCACCCAAGGTTGGCTCACAACCACCTCCAGGGGATCTAACGCCCTCTTCTGTTACAGTCACACGTGTAGGGAAAATACCCATACACATTTTTTAAAAAATTAAAAAATTAATTTAGAGATTTAAAAAAGTAGACAGCATTAGAGAAAATTCCAAAGGAGGTGGACATTTCGTCAGTTATAAAATGCTAGACTCATTCCTTGAGGGCAGGAACTGTGTCCATCTCTTCCCTGGCTTCCCAGAAACCTGTGACAGTACCTATAACATCAAATATGCAAATGCTTGAGGACATCAGAAAATTCCTCCATAGTCACATCCCAGTCCCAAAGGTGGCCACATCCGAGTCCTGTGCCTGTGATTAGGTTGTCTTATAGGGCAAGGAGAATTTACAGATGTCACTGAGTTAAGAATCTGGAGATGGAGAGATTACTTGAGATTACCCACATGAGCCTGGTACAGTCATGAGGATCTTTGTAAGAGGGAGGCAGGAGGGTCAAAAGTGGAGAAACCATATGAAAACAGAGGACCCTGAAGAGACTTTGTTGATGGTTTGCAAGGAGTGTGAGGCCTTTGCAAGTTGCCAAAGGAAAAGATAATGCATTCCCTCAAGTCTCTCTCTCTGAACCCAGGGCCTGTGTGTCCAAGGCAAGTGCTCTACCACTGAGCTACCATCTCCAGTCCTCTGTTTACATTTGTATTTTGAAATAAGATCTCAGTAAGCTACCCATGCTGTTGTGAACTCACTCTGTAGCCCAGACAGACCTTGAACTTGCAGTTTTCCTGCCTCAGCCTCCCAGGTGCTAGAATAAAAGGCATGTACAACTAGGCCACACTTTTTGTCTTCCCTCTGCACCTCACCTCCACCCCCAAAGATGAAATCTAGAACCTTGCACTTGACAGGCAAGAGCTCTGTTGTTAAACTACAGGCCAGGACATTATTTTTGTCTTGCGGTATTGCTTAGGAACAGAAGTTATCTGTCCTTTGTTTTTGTTTTTTAAAGACAGGTTCTCTGTGTAACAGCCCTAGATGTCACTTTGTAGCTCAGGTTGGCCTTAACTCTGCCTCCTGAGTGCTGGGATTCAAAGCATGGGCCACCAGGCCTGGCTTACTCTTTCCTTTTAACAACTGAAAACCTGCAGCTGAGAAAGAATGAGGAGTCTCGGGCAGCAGCTGTGAGGCTGGAGGGCTCCTGCTCTCTGTGTGACCTCTGCCTCTACTTTTCCACTCCCAGTTCCCTTTGCCTCTTTCTCTGTGTGAGTGTGCACGTTCATGTGGGTGCCGGTGTGCACATACATGTAGAGGTTGGATGCCATCTTCAGTGTCATTCCTCAGGGGCTGTCCACTGTGGGCTTTTTCTTTTTCTTTTTTGGAAACAGGATCTCTCAATGTGACCTGAGCTCAATGTCCGATTAGGCTAGGTTGGTTGACCAATACAAGCATGCACTAAGACACCTATTATACATGGTTTTCTGTGGGGTCTGGGACTGGAGCTCAGGTTCTCATGCTTGGGTAACAAGTGCTGACTGAGCTGTCTCCAGCCCCTGCTCCACCTACCCCTCCTCTTACCCTGAAAGACTTCCATGGGTATAGCCTAGTGGTACAGCACGTGTTGACCTTGGGTGAGGAACTGGCTTCTAGAGAATCCCTAGTGAGATCATGAACTCCCAGAAATTCCTGCTCAGAGCAAGACCACCCCTGTTTCAAGTCCATCACTGAGAGGCCCCACTTCCTGCTCTGACACCCGTCCTCCCGCCTGCCTCCTCTCCAGTCCCCACACCTTGGTGTGCTTCTTGTTTCTGGTTTTCATGGTCACAGGGATCAGCAAGGCCAGCTCTCGAAGCTTGTTTGTGTGGTTCTTCTTATCCTTCCTGTTTGGGGATGAGGGCCAATTTTGGTTAAGACATCTAAAATTAAACATAGCTTTTGGGGACAAAGTGATACGACCATACTGCCTCAGCCTCTCAAGTACTAAAATCACAGGCATGAGCCACCACATCTAGCTTTAAAGCTTTGCCACCTGCCCCCAAGCCTTCGGTCTCATGTCAAGGCTGTCCTCTACCCCCATTCTAGGACACCCAAGACAGAGTCTCAGACATGATCAGAACGTATCATTTTCCTTTATCCCTTAGACCAATAGGTCCCCCAATCTTACCCATCCTCCCACTCTGATTTTGTTAAATCCGTAATCTTTGAATGACCATCTTCACACCCTCACAAGACTCCCAGCCTCCCATCTGGCCTCCTCCATCTATAGCTTCTGAGGCAGCAGGAGCTTTTCTGAAACACAAATCTGACTTTGTCACCCCCTTGTTTCACACCCTCAAGGTCATGCCATTCCTAAGGAGCATTTGGAGGTTTTTTGTTGTTGTTGTTGTTGTTGTTGTTGTTGTTGTTGTTGTTTTGAGATAAGGTCTTGCTATGTAGCCCAGGAGGGACTCAAACTCAGCAGGCCCCTGCTTTAGTCTCCCGAATATTGGGATTACAAGTGTGCACTACAAGCTGCTGTGTGGCTCACAGTACCCTACCTTTTCTGGCCCCGCTGGCCACTCTGGTCCTAGCAGTACTTTGGCTCTTTCATACTGACTGACCTCACTGCACTGGGTGGGTGAGCTCAATGTCCCTGCAGTCCACCACTGTGTCCCTGGCACAAGCACTGGGCTCTCATAATCTGAAAACTCAACGTGTGCCTGCTAAAGGACCCAATACAGGCATGAAAGGAGTTGACTTGTGGCAACGTCCAGGGCCTAATCCCCAACTGCATAATTCATGAGACACCCACGATAGAGCATGCACAGCACCACTCCTCCCCCACTGAGTAGAGCCAACTTCCTCTCCCAAATTACACAGCACCCCACTGCCCCAGGGCTCCTGTGGGTGCTCTAGCACCTGCACTGTCATCAGCTCTCCTCACACCGTCCTCAGGACCTTCAGCTGCCAGCTCTTGTACCCTGCTCCCCCCTGATGGCTGTGCCCCATCCACACCAAAACAATCCTCAGGCTGGCTCTGATGGAAGTACAGGAGAGGTGCTGCTTGGCTGTAGGTCCACCGAGCCATCTTCCTGACCTTATCTGTTTATTTCCTTGCACAGTCTGCACCTGTCAATCCCAGCACTTGAGAATGTGCAGCAGGAGGACTGTTATGAATTTGAGGCCAACTCAGGATAGAGCTAAATCTTATCTTAAAAAAAAACAACTGAAAAGAGAGGGCACAATCATTCCTCAGAATGATGGGAGTAAGGGATGATAGATAATGGGGCACATAGATTACTGAATGACTTGTTGATAATTGCTGTTTTTGCTTAACCAACATTCCATTCCGCCTTCCCTGGTAATAGCACCTCAGTTGTCCTTTGGGCAACTTCTCTACTCTCTGTTCATGTTTCAGAGAGGCTGAAAGGGAGCGCAGAACCAAGGTCCATCTAAGAAGTTACCAGGACTTACTCAGTGAGTCTTGAAAAGAGGCTCTGTGGGGTGATCAAGCAGGCAGGATATGGACCTGAGCAGCTAGGAGTCATCGCGCCCTCCCCTAGGGAGAGTCTGCTTGATAAGAAAGATGGAGCCAAGGAAGCACCATTCAACCCTTGCCTGGGACCAGCCAGGCCCTGGTACCCCTGAATTTTTGTTTCAATGATCCAGCAGATGCCCTTTTATGCCTAAGCTAGTTTTAGCTAGGTTTCTACCCACTGCAACCAAGAGTCTTTATTATTATAAAGATCCCTCATCTAGAAAGGGGGAAACAAGAGCCTAAACTGTTGATGACTAAGATTCCAGGAAGCAATGGGCTGCAGGATACACAATTCTTCATTTTCCTCATGGTGCTCCTTCTGAGCATAGTGCCTACATAGAGGCCCAGAGCAAAGGAGGTGCTTAACTGTGATGTTAATGAATGAGGAGGGCTGGATGAACATCCATTAAGGGGAAGACAGTACAGGGCAAGATGAACTCCAACTGTTTTTAATTTGTCCAAACTGGAAGGATGGACAGGGAGTCCAATCCAACCCTCAATCTGCTATATGAATCCCCCTTTTCAGATTCCTACAGCTGAGGATATAGTTCAGTGGTAGAGGGTTGCCTATCATGCATGTGGCCCTGAAGGCCATTTCAGTATTCCCCCTCACCCCCAGCACCCAAAAGACTCCTAACATTGTCTGATGGGTGGATGTATAAATGTGTGAATAACAGAATGGAAGAAAGAACATTTAAGAACCTCAGAATGAGAGGGACTGGAGAGATGGCTCAGCAATAAGAGCACTTGGGCTCTTACAGAGAATCCAGGTTGCAATCCCAGCACCCACAAAATGGCTCACAACTCTTGGTAATGCCAGTTCTAGGGAGATCTGGTGCCCTCTCCTGGCCTCCACAGGCACTGCATGCACAAAACAAAGCAAAATCTAAAAAAGAAAGAAAAGAGTGTCGGAATGGGAGCTGTGGATGTAGTATAGTGATTTTTTTTTTTAAATTCCTTATCACCTCACACCATAAAGTCCTGGGTTCACACCCAGCACTGGAAAAACAAACAAAACCCCAAGAATATCAAAGCCTGAAATCACCTCAGAACCCTCTCTGGGAAAAGGCAGGAATATTCCCTCTGCTTCTTTGTCAGGTGGTTGTAACGGTTATTAGATACAAAGGACCAAACAATCGGGAAACAGTAAGTGTTTAGTAACATTGTGTTGTTACTATTATTCTATTCAGTAGCAGTGGCTGAGACTGTCCTGGAGAGGGGAGAAGCATTACCTGTCAGTAGGACTCAAAGAACTAGCTCTGAGCTCATCAGGGAAACACAAGTATCTGCCGGAACCCAACATCTGCACAGAGGGAAACAAATTATTAGTGACCTTCGGGACTCCAGAATGAATGGGACAAATAATGTACACCCTTCCCCACCCCCATGGTGCATCTTTAAAGCACCCAGATCCTAAAATAGGACATAACTATGGGCACAGGAATCTAAATTAAAACCCTAAACTAAACAGAGGATCACAAATTCCAAATGGTAAGCTTAAGCTCCTAAAATTTGAATCTAAAACTAAAACCAGCAAATTCCCAGACATTGATCTCAGAATTTAGACATCAATAATGGGATGCCAAAGGCTGAAATACAAACTGTCTAGCCTGAAAACTGTGGCTTGAGACCTCTAGAAAGGGGTGGGTGGGGGTTGAGATGGGATCTCTCTGTGTAGCTCTGGCTGTCCTAGAATTCACTGTGTAGATCAGGCTGGACTTGAACCCACAGAGATTCACCTGGCTCTACCTCTCCCAGATAGATGGTGATATTAACAGATGAAAACTGACTTTAAAATCTCAAAGTGAAAGCCTGATAAATGGCTCTATGGTTAAGAGCACTGACGGCCTTTCCAGGGGACTTAGATTTGAGTCCTAATACCCATATGGTGGCTCACAACTGTCTCTAACTCAAGTTCCAATCTTCTTCTGACCTACTCCAGCAACTCTATGTATGTGGTACACATACATATATGCAGGCAAAACATTCACACACAAAAAATAATTTAAAAAATTAATCTCAAAGTAAGCCAGGCTTGGAGGTCCATGCCTTTAATCTCAGGACTCAGGAAGCAGAGGCAGCCAGATTTCTCTGAGTTCCAGGCCAGTCATAGTGAGACCCTCTCTCAAAGAACAACAAACAAACAACAACAATAACAAAAAGAAACCACCAATAGATAAATAAATAAAATCCCAAAAGTGAGGGCCAAATCCCCCAAAGGTGCTTCTGAATGTATAAAACCCTGAAAATCTAATACTGAGATCCTGGATGTGCAAAATGTTGACTATTGACCCTCAAATAAGACCTTAATCCTAATATCAAGATCACAAACTACAAAAGCCTAAATTCTATAGACTATGCAGGTCCTCCAAAACAGACCTCAACCACTCCCCCAAAAATGTGTCTCATGTCCTAGAATAAATATTTGCAGACTCCAAAACTGACCCTCAGATCTTCAAATTGTGATCTTAGAAAATTTAGATCTAAGCGGGGTGGTGGCTGCGGCGGCGCCGGCGCACGCCTGTAATCCTAGCACTCGGGAGGCAGAGGCAGGCGGATCTCTGTGAGTTCCAGGCCAGCCTGGTCTACAGAGCGAGATCCAGGAAAGCCAGGGCTACACAGAAACCCTGTCTCGAAACAACCAAAAAAAGAAAAAGAAAGCTTAGATCTCGCGAGAGCATCCACTGGGACTTAGAACCCTAAATCGACGCCTACACTCCGTGGGGAGGGGGGCAACTTCAAGGCCTTAGCATGAGCTCTCAGAGACCCAAACTGCCCCACCTAACAGTGTGCACACCTAATAGTCCGTGCTGTTACTGAAGAGCCCGGGCCCGGTCAAATCCGACCCCTGACCTTCCAAATGCTAGAAAGATTTCCGGGTCTCCTTCAGACTCCAGAAGCCGAGCCTCCAACAGGAGACCCAGGCCGGCCACGCCACTCAAGAGGAACGTTCCAGAAAAAAAAAAAAAAAAATGTCGGCCACGCCACCAGGAAGAAGAACGTTCCAGAAACCACCATGCCGGCCATGCCACTCAGAAAGAACGTTCCAGAAATCACTGTCGGCCACGCCACTCAGGAGGAACGTTCCAGAAATCACCATGCCGGCCACGCCACTCAGGAAGAACTTTCCAGAAACCACCATGCCGGCCACGCCACTCAGGAAGAACGTTCCAGAAACCCAGCTTTAGCCTGAATCCCCCCCTCCACCCCAGGCCTGGCCTCAAGCCCTGTGGTCCTGCTCCACGCTAAGGGTGCGACCTTGCCGCCCCTGGCCACCCC